GCCGTGGAACCACCCGGGGACGTCCCCGCGGCGTCCCCGCGGTGCTGCCGGTGCCGGTGGAGGTGACACTGACCACGCCCACCAGGTCGCCGCGGCCGTACTCGCCCACCAGCTCCTTCTTGCCGCTGCCCTTCTGGATGACCGAGCGCAGCCGCCCGTTGAGGACGATGTAGGTGCAGTCCGACTTGTCCCCCTGCCTGGGGACAGCGCTGGTGGCACCTCTGCTGGCCGTCCCCCGAGCTCAGGTGGACGCCTGGGTGCGGTCACTCACCTGTAGAGCGCCCGGCCGGCCTCCACGGCCATCCAGTCGATGGCGAAGTCCATCTGGCGCACGAAGGGCGACATGCGGGCGGCCACCGTGTGGGCCACGCTCAGGACCACGCTGGGCTGCTCCCGCATGATCCTGGGGGGGACACGGCCACGCCGTGGTCACCCCAAAATGTCCCACCCCAAGGTGGGGGAGCTCAAGGGTGGAGGGTGACCGTCGGCATCGCGGTGGCCTCTCGCTCGGGACAGCCCAGAACTCCGCCCTGGGGTGTTGCCCCACCTTGGGAAGGATCCCTGGGGAGATGTTTTGGGGTTCCACCACCCTCTGGGGGAGGAACCTGCACCTGGTGTCCCACCCAGTGGGGTCCTGTCATCGGCACCGCAGCAGAGAGCGGTGCTGAGGAAGATGAGGAGCTCGAGGGTCTCCAGCTGAGCATTCCCAGCTCCCTCAGCCCCTCCTGACCCTTCCTCATCCTGGTGGCCTCTTTCGGGCACTTCCAAAGGTTTCTTTTTCCACGTTTTGGTGACCAAAACTTCACAAAATACCCAGAACTTCGTGGAATATCCAACTTGAGGCCTGGGGACAACCCCGAGGCAACGGGGGCCACCATAAAGTGATGGGGGACCACCTCAAAGAGATGAGGGACCACCCCAAAACCATGTGGGACCATCCCAAAGTTATGGGAACCATCCCAAAGCCATGTGGGACCACCCCAGAGATGTGGGACCACCTCAAAGCCATGAGGAACCACCTCAAAGCCATGTGGGACCACCCCAAAACCACGTGGGACCATCCCAGAGATGGGGGACCGCCCCAAAGTGATGAGGAACCACCCCAAAGCCTTGTGGGACCACCCCAAAACCACGTGGGACCATTCCAGAGATGTGTGACCACCCCAAAACCATGTGGGACCACCCCAAAATGATGGGAACCATCCCAAAGCCATGTGGGACCATCCCAGAGACATGTGACCACCCCAAAGCCATGAGGAACCACCTCAAAGCCACGTGGGACCACCCCAAAACCACATGGAACCACCCCAGAGTGATGAGGAACCACCCCAAAACCATGTGGGACCATCCCAGAGAC